TTGAGACAGTGTCTCTCACCCAGTCTGGAGTGGAGCAGCGTGGTTTCGGCTCACTGCAACCTCTACCTTCCAGGTTCAAAGGATTCTAGTGCCTCAGCCTCCTGAGTAGATGGGACTACCGGCATGTGACACTACGCCTGGCTAATTATTTTGTTATTTTTAAGTAGAGAGGGGATTTCGCCATGTTGGCCGAGGCAGGCTGATCACTTGAGGCCAGAATTTGAGACCAGCCTGGCCAACATGGCGAAACCCTGTATCACTCTTTTAGGCCCTTCTGAGTGTTTGCAGGCTGAGTGTTCACAGGGTGTTAGCCTATTGAGCTTTCTTTCGTGGTTCTTACGCAGGAGATTCCTGCCTTTGCAAGCCAGAGCACTTATGACTTCAATGACCTGCTTCTCCCCCTCTAGGTCTACCAGCCACAGTCTCTGCACGTTTCCAAGAGCAGCAGAAAATGGAACCACATTTGCAGGTGAGGTTTTCCTGCTGTGGTATAGGTTCTGCCACTACTTTACGTTTTAACTGATTGCAATGTTTCCTAGCAGGTTGTTGGTAAGAATTCATACTCTCCTTTCTTTTTTTTTTTTTGATAGGTCTTGCTCTGGTCGACCACGGCTGGAGTTAGAGATCGGATCGCACCTCAACTTGCAGCCTCCAATCCCCTGGGCTCACACAATCCTCTGCCCCAGCCCTCCCGCGTAGGCTGCGACTACAGGCGCACGCGCCACAAACCCGGGCCTACTTTTTTTTTATGCTGTATTTAGTAGAGACTGACGCCGGTAATTGCGTTTCCACCGTGTAACCCAGGCTGGTCTTGAAATCCTGAGCTCCAGGCCAATCCTGCCTCTCTCTCGCGCCTCGCCAAAGTTGCCTAGGATTAAGGGCGGGAGCCACTGTCTAGGGCCTAGAGATGTATTCCTCACTGTATGCCTGAGGGGGTCCTCAAACTCTGGCGTCACAGTGAATGCCTTTCATGCGCCGGTCAGCTTTACCAGAGTGCCGGGATGACAGGCTAATGCCTGGCCTGGACCCCAGTGTGTTTATATTTGTTTTTTGTTTTGTGAAGACGAGTCCTTGGGTCCTTCACCAGCTGGAGTGGCCTGGACTCCCACTGCAAGCTCAACCTCCTGGGTCCACCATTCTCCCTGCCTTAGCCTCGTGGAGTGTAGCCTTGGGCTACAGCGGCGCACACGCCAGTCTCTAATTTTTGTATTCTCTGTTTAGTAAGAGATGGGGTTTACCGCGTATCCCAAGGGCAATAGGTCTCCAAGGCTGTATCCCACCTTTTGTCACGATGTCCAATGGTGTTATTTCCCCTGAGCTGGTTTTGATTTTCTTCACACCTCATGCCGCTGCTTTCGATGTGACTGTAGTGCAGCTATCTAGTTCCAGGATATTATATGCTTTTTGGTTTCTTTAATTGACATTGCATGTTTTAAAAGTAATTTAGGGTACTGATATCTGTTGTAATTTATTAAGTTGACCTTAATTAATAACAACAATTTTTTTTTTTAAATTTTTAATAAGATGGGGTTTCACCATGGTTGTTCAGGCGCTCGCGTCTCGCTCCTTGGACCCTCAGGTGATTGTGGTACCCGCCCGGCCCTCCCAAAAGAAGTGTTGGCGGATTATGGTGTGAGCCCACCGTGCCCGAGCACTTTTACTTTATTCTTTTTTTTTTTTTTGTTTGTTTGCGAGAACCGGAAGGTCTCATTCTGTTCGCTCTCATGCCTGGAGTGCAGTGGCCGGACGTCCAGCTCAGACCTGCAAGCTTCTCGCCTCCTGGGTTTCCACCGCCATTTCTCCTTGCCCTGCAGCCCCTCATCGAGTAGCCGGAACTACAGGACGCCCGCCATCACCAAAGGAATTCCTCGGCCGGCCTAATTTTGTACTTTTAGTAGAGATCCGGGGGTGTCACTGTGTAGCCCCAGCATGGTCTTCGATCATCCTGACCTCCGGTGAATCGCATTGAAACCTCTCTGGCTCCCAATAGTGCTGGGATTACAGGCTTGAGCCACCGCGCCCGGCCTACTTTTTCTTATATTCCTCTAATTATTTTCTCTAATTGTAGATAATGAGCATTTTATTAATATCTTGTTCTTGATCTTAGTGGGAGGTATGTAGTTTTTCCCTGTTAAGTAAAATCCTGACTTTTGGACCAAGAAGACTGAGGCATAAATGTGTGTGTGGTGTGTGTGTGTGTGTGTGTTTACACGCAAACTGTATATATGTGCTTGTGTGTAATTGAAATACATATGTCACATATATATCATGCGTACTGTTGCATATTAGGGTATAATATTTGTATTTGTGTATAATTGAAGTTAATGAATGTTAATGAATGTGAATGAATGTTAATGAATGTTAATGTAGTCCCAGCTGCTCACTCGGGAGGCTGGGCAGGAGGATGGCTTGAACCCACGAGTTTGACACTGCAATGAGGTATGACTGAGCCATTGCACTCCAGCCTGGGCAATAGAGGGAGACCCTGTCTCAAAAACCAAAACAAAAAAAAGATTCTTTTAATTTTTTTGTGCTCGTAATGTGGATAGCTTGACTAGGAAAGAAAACAAGTCCGCTTTGTCTTTATTAGGAAGTAAATGTGAATTTGTTTGTTTTAGTTGCAAAGCCTCATTCCTTTTGTTCAGCTGCCCCCTAGTGACTCCGTGTGTGAAGAGTATGGTCTGAGCTGTTCGGATGCTCTGCATAATCTTTTTTAGTAAGTATTGCTGGCAAGAGAACTACAAGTAAACATTTTATCCTGAGAGTTTTTTTTGTTTTTTTAAAGATAGTGATTTTAGGGCTAATAGTTTCATGGATTTTTTTTTTGGCTTTTTTTTAAAGAGACGGAGTCTCACTCTATTGCCCAGGCTGGAATGCAATGGCGCTGTCTTGGCTTACTGCAACCTCTGCCTCCTGAGTTCAAGCAGTTCTCCTGCCTCAGCCTCCTGAGTAGCTGGGACTAAAGGCACCCGCCACCACGCCTGGCTAATTTTGTATTTTTAGTAGAGACGGGTTTCTCCATGTTGACTAGGCTGGTCTTGAACTCCTGACCTCACATGATCCGCCCACCTTGGCGTCCCAAAGTGCTGGGATTACAGGCGTGAGCTACCGCGCCTGACTAGGGATAATAGTCTTTTATGTCCTTTATAAAACTGTGAGCAATGCTATTGCTAAGAAAGATGATTTATACAAAGGACTCAGTTACTTAATTCAAACCATGTTCCTAGTAACTGGTACATTTCAGGTGGTTTTCTGTTGAGTTAGTCTTCTTTAAGGCTCTGTTTAGTTAGACTAACTTTTAAATTATTTTATCATTTTAAATGGTTTTGACTTTTCTGGCCAGTGATGAAGGCAGTTTAGTGTCATTAGTTTTAGTATAAGAAAAGAGACACTTCCATAAATAGGATTGGTCCTGTAAAAAGAGAAATCTCTCTCTATATATTTTATATATACATATCTCTACATATAGATATAAATATATATCAACATATAGATATATATAAATATATATAGATGGATATATAGCTATATACAATATCTATATATAAAAAAAATATATATATTTGTATTAGTTTATCCTTTATGCCTTTGACTTTTAATGGATAACATTTTTTCTGATAATAGGCAGATAACATGGAACTCGGGACTTTGAGAAATGTGGCTTTAATGTTATTTTATTTTGGGCATTTACAGAAGTCTACTGCAGATGGCCCCCAACTTAAGATGTTTCAACTGAAGATTTTTCTGGCCGGGCACAGTGGCTCATGCCTGCCATCCCATCACTTTGGGTAGGTGGATTGCTTGAGACCAGGAGTTCGAGACCAGCCTGGCCAACATGACAAAACCTCGTCTCTACTAAAATACAAAAAATAGCCAGGCGTGGTGGCCCATGCCTGTAATCCCAGCTACATGGGAGGCTGAGGCAGGAGAATCGCTTGAACCTGGGAAATGGAGGTTGCAGTGAGCCGAGATTGTGCCACTGCACTGCAGCCTGGGTGACAGAGTGAGACTGTGTATCAAAAAAATCTGTATTTTTCTACTACTTTACCTTGTTGCAAAAGTTATTTTTGCCTTAGATACCATCCTTCAAATACCTATGTAACCATTTTTTTTTGGTATAGTATTCAATAAATTACAGAAGATATTCAACATTTTATTATAAAATAGGTGTTGTGTTATTTTGCCTATAGAGTAATGTAAGTATTCTGAGGTAAGGCTGAGATAGGTTATCACAAAGGCATTTTTGGCATACAATATTTTCAACTTACGGGTTTATCAGGGCATAACCCTATCATAAGTCAAGGAGCGTATCTATCTGTGTACAGTTTTTGTTTTGTTTTGTTTGTTTGTTTGTTTGTTTTGAGACAGAGTCTTGCTCTGTTGCCCAGGGTGGAGTGCAATGGCGGGATCTTGGCCCACTGCAACCTCCACCTCCTGGGTTCAAGTGATTCTCCTGCCTCAGCCTCCCAAGTAGCTGGGATTACAGGTGCGCACCACCACACCTGGCTAATTTTTTGTACCTTTAGTAGAGATGGGGTTTCACCATGTGGCCAGGATGATCTTGAACTCCTGACGTCGTGATCTGCCTGCCTTGGCCTCCCAAAGTGCTGGGATTACAGGCATGAACCACCGCGCCTGACCTCTGTGTATAGTTTTTTAAATTGCATATACGTGAGTGTGTTTGTATGTGAATATATACATTATATATG